CGCATGTGTACCCCTGCAGTATTACAATAGATAAAATAAGAACAGAACAAAAAAAGTAATTAGCGAGTTTGTGATAAAAATTCACGGCACAGTGACGGGTTTTCAAGGTTTTCTATTTGTTAAGTGGGGAAATAGGACTTAGTAGAAGTAAAACCAGGTTCACTCTCAGAAATCAAGTTTTGGATTTAATTGATAAAGTTAAGCCTTTCCACATAGTGCAGCCATGTTGGAATAAATGAATAAAGTCAAATAAATGTAACAATATTTGGACTTAGATGAGTTCATCAATTAAATCCAACGGGTAAGATTTATGTGGAGAAGGTGGCTTAATATTTCTAAACTTTATCAATTAAATCCAACACTACTTGCCAGAGTGTTTGCTAACATTTTGATGGATAGACATTCTATTCAAACGCAATCATTTAGATACAGATTTATTCATGTATTTATTCTCGGCCAATTGAAATTTAAAATATCCATTGTGTTTCTCTACACAATCTGTGAATGAGTTATGTGTAACATTATAGGAGTTATAATGTCACTTCTGCAATTGGCATTATTGTCTCATAAAATCTGTGCAATAGTACTGTATTGTGTATGCACTGTACAGTATTTTTAATTGTATAAAATTGTGTTTGTATGGTCTCGGCTTGTTTGGTGCTGAAATCTTGACCGGGGTTTGGAACGGAATAAGTCATGTTCTTGTATCGCTGTGTCTGCAAAGATGATATTGGAAAATGTGTTGCGCAGGTTTGAAATAAATATTTTAGCTAACATGTTATCCAGTGTACACGGAATCAATAATAGAGCCATTTTACAACCTGGATGAGGAAAACAAACAATATTGCATAGCTTGAATCATATTTTTTTCCCAGAAATATAATCATGTTAACTACATTTGTATAGAAGGAACAGCTCACACCTGTCATATCGCTGAGGTGTCTATTACGCTGAATTGTTAATGCTCGCTCAGAGAAGAGAAAGTTTACCTTTACTGTCTAATCTGCCCCTTCTTACTGATGGAGGGTAATAAAGGCAATGGCACCCGAGGGCTTGACATAAAATGCACAGACAGTAGAGTGTGAACAGAGCTGTGCTAGTGCGGTCTGTGGGGGCTGGTTTTAGCAACTGCAAAGAGAGCTCATCATATAGTGCTGTGTGGCAAGGCAAAGGTTTCAATCGCAAATACAAGCACAGTTTATATTTCTACACACACTGTATCAGCTGCTATGGTACAATGTCAGAATCAATCTTACAATGAGCCTTGCAAACCTCAAAATGTTCAAAAATTGATCAAGAATATGATTACAATCCTCCCCTCGATTAAAGTGTGAAAATACAAAGCTGAATTTCCATGAGACGAGAGGAAGCATGAGATTAAATAACGAAACAGAGAGAGAGATTTTTTTTATACGGGAGCACAGATTGAGCAAATAATTCACTGGCTTTGTTGTTTACCTGCTGAAAGATGGCATTGAAAGTCACAATTAGTCACAATTTAATCTACAACATACCTTGTTGCACTGCTGTTGGGTGTGTGGCTTCTCAATAATAATAATCAGCATAATTATTCAACCTGTTTTTGTCCAAGTTTAATGTAATCACTAACCACGGCAAAGAATATCTTGAATCTTATGCAAAGTGACTGCCTCAATAACTTTTGTTGTTTTTTCAATAAAGAAATATTGTTCTGTAATTTTTTAAATCATTAACCACATTTCCCCAGAATGAATTATGTTTGTCTTTTATCTGGAAACTTTTGAAAAACAAAGCAGAGAAGCAGGTCATTAGTGACCTGTACTGCATTTGCCACTTTACATAATTAGGGGTTTGAGAATCGCCCGCGTGATTGGTAATGTGAAAAAACAACAACAATACAGAAAAACACTTGACTTGTAGAGTGCAGACCACCGCCACGAGGTGTACTTCTGTTCCTTGAAAATGTTCCTGGATCCAGACGGTTATCCAGATCATGGGTATTCATGTTTCATTCTCTGCTGTTAAGGGATCAGCAGCGAGACCGTAACAAAAGTGAATGAAGAGTTGACCCTGCCATCTGCAGTTACTGATTTTGGCAAACAAACACACACAGACATGTCATATCTCATTACCACCTGGCCGGGGTAACTGAGATAAAAACATACTGTAGATCAACAGCTTAGTATTTTACGAAACTATTTCAAATGCTTCATTGTGATGAGAATAATACGAGGAAACACCTGAATGTGCTGCTACTGCTCAACATTTTTAAAATGCTCTTTTGATATGAAGCTAAAGTGAGGGATCACACTATAACATCTCATGATCTCTCTACCACATGCTTCACTTGAATCCTCCCAGAGCCTCTGACTTCACCTACCCCAAAAAGTGCCCCACAACTTTCCTCTATGCTTCAGCTTGTGCAGCAACCCCCATCACCACCTCAGCAGTAGGAATATTTAACATACTTCATGCCATCGGCCCATCACTTCAGCTTCCACCTTCACCAGGGTTTAGAGCCCAAGAACTTTCAACTTTCCTAAACAATTTCACATGTGGTGTATCCATACCATAATATCAGTGTCTACTCATGCAGTATCAAAGGAAATATACTTAATACAAACATAAACATAACTCTAACACATTTTGTGTGATTCTTTCCAGATTTTAATGTTTAGAATTTAAGATTCAAGTTAAGTGAATCTCTGAGCTTAATAAACCAAGAACAATGTGATACAATGTATCAATCAATCAAATTTTATTATAAAATGCATTTCATACATGAAATAAATACAAAGTTCTATACAGTTTGGTTAAAAACAATCCCAAATGCCCCCTGACCCCTACCACCCATCAGACCCACCCGTAACCACACTTATTACAGGTACATACACATACATTAGCCTCTTCAAGTGTTATTTTTTAGACTTAATCAACACTATTACTCTTTAGAAATAATGAATGCTTGATATTTTTTTTGACTATCGATGCAATTCTTGGAATGCATCATGAAACCTGATTTTCCTTTTTAAACCAACAAAGTGTTTAAATTTTGCAAATGCTATTAATGATGCATTTTAATATGAAATGTTTCTCATAATAACACTCTTGTGCTTGCCTCTGATCACAGCGTGCCGTATTCACCTTTTATCATTAATTCCCTAATGTGTAGAAAATGGACAAAATCACATATTAGGCACAAAGACCATAACACTAATGCACATGTTTCATTTCTCTTTTGTATCTCGGTGTAATTACTCCATGCTGCTTTAAATGAGCAGACGCCAGAAGTGGAAGATAATTTGTTTTGCACAACCAAATGTGTCTCATCTTCACATGCTGAAGAGGAAATGACATATGGTAGAAAGCATTATTCATCTGGAGACAGTGATACCAGCATCATAAAGGAAATTAATTCTACTTCTTGGCTTGGTCTGCTACACAGCATTAAGTGAAATAAATAACTTCATTCACCACAACACACAACAGCCGTATTGAAAGTAGAAGATCCAATAACATTGGACTGAACATGCTTATCTGATGCTGTTGTGTGGGGGTTTGACTGTTGAATGTGATTTGATTGGGTGAGTGTATCAGTGTGTACTGTGTTTTTATGCATGCAAAAGAACACTATCAAACAGGAGCATGATGGAAAGTGGTTTTGCATATGCATTAGTGCATCCATAGTTACAAAGCACGTTTCTTGGCGACTCCAGTGGATTGTTGACCATCTATAAGCGAGCGAATGAGGATTATCTCCTCGGGCAGAGCACATAAGAGTGAAGCGCTGTATGTCATTGATTAGGATGGTGTGTGCGCATGCCAACACATGTGCACATGCCGCCCACCACAATGAGTGCATTAAAGCACCTTATCTGCACACACAAACACACTTCATTATGGATTTGGTCAAATGGGGCGTGAAGTTATAGCATCCATGACATCAAAGACATTTACCGTGTTTAATTTGTTTTGAAAACATATTGCATTTTCTTTATTCGAGTAGTCGCTGCTAAAAAGAAAGAATATAAAGAATACATAATGTTCATGACTTTTATGGGATTAATATTACATGTAATGACCGTAATATGGGGCATTTCAAGATTATTGAAGTGCTTTACGTTCCATTATTAATTTGGTATATCTTGGTGGAGAGTAACTTCTGTGGGTGACCACAGCTGTAAGGCTGCAAATGTGAAGTTCTTTATTCTTACCTCAACTCTACAATAATAGGATTCCTGACTTACTAGATTCAAAATGGTCCATTATTTAATCATTGTCAGAGCGATCTATAGACTGGTGAAAGGTCTTCAGATTGTTAGCTGTAAACAGATACAGTTGTGTTAGCTCATAATATTTCAATTAACCAACATTGTACTTTTATTCCCAAATGTAAACAGTATTGGAGGCTCTAATGGGCTATTTACAGCAGAAACATGAAATCAGTAATATTTTTACCAATTTTGCAGTATTAACAGAAATGTGATTTCTTATTAGTTAATCTGATTGTCTTTATTGCCCTCTTTAACAAAACAAGCGTGGATGCTGATAAGGATAACGATGTTGAATTGACTCCGTCACATGGAGTTAAATGCGGTTTTTTTCGAGGGAGGGGCTTGTTGTGTTTGGGGTGTGCCTTCGTGTGTTTGGGGAGGGGCTGCCATGTTAACACGCTTTGCCTTGTTCGTCAGTACGACTGCCACAGGCCAACGCTCAACTGGGATCGGAGTCAGTGCATGAGTGCTCTACACATATTTACAATATAAGAATTGTGTTTATGGAATATTCTCATCCGTGTTCTGTTCAGTCGTTTCAAACCATCGCTTCATCACATGGGCTCCAAAGACCACTTGCCCAACTCTTTTAGCGCGCAGTTTTTAAGTTGGCTCGATAAAGTTGTGAGACAAGGAATCGTGAGTGCTGCTGCAGAGAATTGATGCAGGTGTGGACTTATGACAAGCTTTGATCGCCTCTTGTGTGTGTTTTCTGCGTCCATCTGAAGACAACATTGGGAGGAGGACTCAGCGCGCCGGTCTCGTGGCTTCTTTGTATACAGCAGCTGTGCGTAAAGGCATGGGCATCTTTACCGGGCTCTGTCCAACCTTCACATAGGCTTCCTCGGACTCGGAGCACTTGAGCCACGTGGGGAAGGAATACAGAAGGTGAAGTGAAAGCATTGCTCTCCGCGGTTCGTTTAGCCCCGTGCAGCCCGGGTCAGTGCACTGCTGTTTGTCCGTGAGTGTCAGCGGCAGCAGCACAGTGCGCTCTGCGTCAGCTGCGCGCCACTCTTTCAACATGGATGTACGCTTTTACCCCGCTGCTGGGGGGAATTCTCTTCCAGGAGACCCCCCGAACATGGATTTTGGTCACTGCCTGGGCTACTACAACTTTAATAAGGTAAGAATCATATCGCAATTGAGTACTTTTGAAAAGTCTAAGTGCGCAAAGCCTGTTGGAAACCCTGCAGAGAAGCGATGGAATACTCGTGAACTAATCTGCAATTACAACTTTATAAACTTTTTTTCAACGCTGTGCATAGTATATTTGAGCTAAGACCCACATGCAACCTGCACACTTTTTTGACCATAACATACAAATGAAACATCTGGCGATAAGTATCTTTGGTATTGCCATTTCTCCAATTCATAGAGAATGTCTTAAGTGATACATCTTGCACAGCAACATCCAGATAAAAGTTCTCCGTCATACTCTGGTTACTCATGGGTTACTTGTGACACTAGACCCCCATAGCAGTATGTATAAGATATGTATTAGTCTGTTTATTTACATGCAATCTCAGATTATTAGCATGTTTAACTTGTGACATTGTTCATCTGTCCACACTAGCAATAAACCAGAACGTAGTCTTCTAAACTAAATCTTCATACACAATTAATTATAGCTGCTGTTTAATCAATGTGAAGTATGTTATTGTTAGTCTTGAGAACTTAAACTTTGTGTCTGGTCCACCTGCATTATGACCTCCATGAACATTATGAGAATCATCCTTTAAAAATGAATACTGACATGGCCACACAGTGCTGATTTTTGAAAAAGTCTTCTCTAAACAATAGTACCCCTCACCCATTCCCCACTCTTCCTCTCTCTCTCCCTCACAACACACAGCCACCCCCCTCCCCAATTATTCAGCCCCACAGAGCAGCCCTGTTTGCTCCTGCAATCTGATGCTTGGCGAAACAGTTACCAGGTTTGTCTCTCGTGTTTCATCAGCTCTTTGTCATGTGGCCAACTTGTCATATATGTGCCCAATTTCATCATGTCTTCATCAGCCTGCAGAAGGATAACAGCCTGCGTTTGAATCAACTATAAATATGTTCCTACTTGTAAATTCCCCAGGTCAAGTGAAATGTTCCATCTGTAACAGTAATTGGTCATAATGCAAAGGTAAAGCAGGGAATTGGAGAGAGGCAGTGTCTCTGACAATACAAAGGAATTGAGAGGAAGCATTCAAAAGCATGCATTTCATTCTAATTAAAATCCATTTATGCAGTGAACAAGTGGCCTCATTTGGATTAGCAAAACGCATACTCTTGGGTTGCATAAAGCGTCAGGAACCACATTGAAAACATGCCACTTCGTAATGAACTAATAATTGGGGTGTGTAGAGTCTGACTATAGATTTTTTCATGTAAAATAGTGGATTATAAAATGCACGGTTCAAGAGTACAAGAGTTTTAATGGCTTTGAAGAGAAAGAAACCTAAAGAGAGTGAGAGAGAGAATTGGCCCCGAGGCACTTTGAAACATCACAGATTCTTTTAAAGTTACAGAGAAATCCAAACGAGTGGCTCAAACTCAATTAGGTGCTGCAGCTTTGACTAATGACGCTTTGGAACCAAGATGAAACAGAGACAAGCATGACACATTCTATAATGCTCATATAAAACATTACTTTATTGAAGAATGTAACTTGTTTACATGAGGACCAGATGTGTGACAGATGACCAGTCGTTCTCAACTATTCAACTGTTGTCATTCCCACATCAAAACTGCTGCAAATTTTTCATTAATTTAAGAAAAAAAACATTTTGTGGGCTAGTTATGTGTGCTCTTTCAAATGCAATACTGATAGGGGTGCAAGATTAATCACAATCTAATCAAAATCACAAATTTAGTGGCTGCAATTTGCAATGAGAAAATACTGAATAAATATCAAGAAATAATCTTATGTTTCCTTAATGCATGAAACTTGGAGAATATGACAATTGCCAGGTTTATCAGTGACATTAAGGATGTGTTGCCAAAATTGTGTGCAAAAACTGTGGTAATAATCATAGTATGTATGTGAAAGTGGAGAATAACAGGGATAAGATTGTGATTATTTTTAACAATATAATAATGAGTGCATTGTACTAAATCAAACCAACCATTTTTTCATTTATGTATTTATGCACTTAAGGAAAGCCCCATTGAGTTGATCCATATATAGCACTTTTTGAAGAGAACCTTCATCACAATTATGGATTGTACAGTACAATACAACACGACAATATACAATAATACATACTGTACATAGATACATACAGTATACACACATACGTATACACACATACATACATTATACACACATACATACATAGATACATACATACATATATTATACATACATAACAGTTGTCTTAAACATCCTTAACAGCATTTTCTCACCTTAATATCATTATTGAAAGCCATGTTAAGCTAATGAGTTAATGTTTGTCCATATAGCCTGAAGCCCTCCATTGTGGGGCTTTCAATCATAGATAATACAAATTCTGCAGCTCATGGCGCTTACTTTGGTTTAGGTTGGGCACTCATGCAAAACACTAGAATGATCATGTCTTTCTCCAGTGCACCCTTCAGTCGGGCACTAACATTTACATGCAAGAGTCCTTAGTAAAAGTCAGAAATGATTGACTTTAATGGTTTCGTGGAAGCAGGTCTGTGTTATATTCATATTTATGGCCATCTGGTCTTTTCTTCCTTAAAGGTTTAATAATCTTACAGTATTCATTTAGCCTGGACTTCATTACCTCCAGGCAACGAGAGAGAGGGACTGAAATCAGCAGCAGATGTTAGAATAAACTCTTCACCTACACTGGTCATTCCACTTCAGCTTTAGATGCTAAATTATTGCCAGCACTCTAAATATGTAATTATGGTTTCTATGTTGAATGAGCTGTATATATCCATGTACATCCAGTTTTCTTAGTAATTGTATTCTGTATATCTTGTGAAAACTATATCTGACTGGGAAGAAATTAGTTACAGTTGCACACAATTGTTCATTTCAGCATCAAAAAGAAAATTCTCAATGTCAACATATGGTATTAATCTAGAGTTAATACATGTTAATAGGGTTACCCAACCCCAAGTTATTTTAGTAATTGATCGATTGGTAGCTGCCCTTTACTAACTTCAACACTTATATTTGCTGAGAGAGGTTTTTTAACACAAGTGGGCATTCAAATTAAACATAATGGGAAATTGTGTGAATTAAGATTAAGAATCCTTTATTTGTCCCACAGTGGGGAAATATCAGTGTTGCATCACAAGTTAGAGACAATAAGGATTACACAGCACAAGACAAATTAATAATAACTCTATACTAAAATAAGACAAAATAAAAAATAGCATAAAGAATAGTGTATTAAAATCTCTATCTTTCGCATGATAAGGGAAGAAGTCTAAAATCTCCAACTTTAGCATAATGGAGAAGCAAGACTTAAGTACAAAATGTTGTGTTTTTGATGGTAAAATGGTCTGTTTTGAAGAAAAATGTATAGCTAAAATAGAATAATTGTTAGTCCAAGCTCCATATAGCTCCTTAACTTAGATAGTCAGATAGAATACATCTCCCATACATGTTTTATTTTGTTTTCAAGACATCCTTGTACCTGTTCTCACACTGATCCCACTCCAAGTCTGAACATATAAAATATAAGTGTCTATCTATCTTGCATTTGTGAGTCGTTATGTCAGCTTTTCGACAGCTACGACTCCCTGGATCACGCTAAATGTTTCCATGTCCATGTAGTGAATAGCTGAAGTGTTTGCTTTCTCTTATAATTGTGGCTTGTCAGGGAGAAGTAGTTCAGCAGATTTATTAAACACCTCATTCTCCCATTGAGATTACAGACTGATATTTTTAGTCTTTGCCCGCTTGACAACACATCGTACTTGAAGGTTGCTGTATTATGAGATATTTATGTGATGTGTCTGCAAATCAATGCGTTTCAGTGGATTTTCTTTGCAAGGATGTGTCATAATAGATTGCTGTAAAAAGAGCCATTTTAGACCATTTTGCCATTTTCTTTAGGACTTTTTCAACTTGAGCTTGATCCGGTGTGATTTCTGTAGCATTGCATTATCCCATCTGCCACTCGGCTCGTACGCCCCAGTTGAGATGCTGACGTGTAGCATGTATGCACTTTGACACAAAACATTCCCACTTTTTTTTGGCTTTACTCATAAAATGGTACCGAAAGCCTCTGAAAACATATGACTTGTTGTGTTTATGAGGTGAATCTGACAAAGGCGCTGAAATGCTGGACAGACACGAACCATTACCCGCATCAGCACTCGTAAAGACCTTCCGTAATCCTGCCATCACTGCTCATAAATCGACTTCATTACATCGTCTTTTGCATGTTGGTTCGTTTAGACAGAGATCAAAAAAGGGCATCGAATGTCTTAACATGATCGCAGATTCATAAAAAACAGATGGGCCCCGGGTTGTGCTTGTGTGATTGGAAACGAATGAGTTCTCAATGCAATCAACTTTTTTACAATGTATCTGTATGGGCCACTGGAAAGGAAAACACTTCCTTTGCTCATCGTTCTATGATTGTTTTTGCATTTGTAAGCTATTGCTCTCACTTTGCATTGCCAAATACCCATGGCACAACTTGAGCAATTTACTTATCAAAACAAATGTCTCGTTATTGTTGCACTGCTTTTCCCATGTTTGGACACCATCCAAGGGAAATGTAATGTAGGGCTGCAGATAAACCATTATTTCATTATTTGAGTATTCTTCCTATTATTATTAATTACCTTTGATTAATTGAGTAATGTAATGGTTTTTACATCGTGTGTATGCTAAATCAGAGTGCTGTCTTTGGCGCTGTGTTGGCACAATGCAGGAACATATCTGTGTGAAATATGATCCAGGCGGATCGGTGCAGCGTGCGCAGTGATGCGGTCGCTGTATCGGACCGTTGTGGTAAAGAGGGAGCTGAGCCGAAAGGCAAAGCTCTCAATTTACCGGTCAATCTTCGTTCCCTCCCTCACCTATGGTCATGAGCTTTGGGTAATGACCGAAAGAACGAGATCGCGGATACAAGCGGTCGAAATGAGCTTCCTCCGCAGAGTGCCTGGGCGCTCCCTTAGAGATAGGGT